CGGCGCGGGGGCGGGGGGGGGGGGGGGAGGGGCCCTGCCACTGCTGCTGCAGCCTCAGGTGGAGGGAGGCCCTGCTGCTCTGTGGGAGGAGGCGGAGGTGGGTGGGCTGGGGGGAAGGAGCTGCTTCTGCTGCCGCTTCCTCAGGTGGATGGAAATTCTGCTGCTCTGTGGGAGGAGGTGGATGGGGGAGGGAGCCTTCACACTGGAGGAGGTAGCAGCGGTGGCAGGACTGTGTACATGGCTGGCCCTGAAGGGCCATGTAAACGCTCCCTGAAACATCCCATCATTCATGATGGGCAATTGGCTAGTTTAGTTTAATAATTCGTTTTCATAGACATTAGGGCTGGAAGGGACCTCGGAAGATCATCAAGTCCAGCCCTTCCCCCAAAGGGCAGGAAGTCAGCTGGGGTCATAGGATCCCAGCAAGATAAACATCCAATTTTCTCTTGAAGGTGTTCAGTGTAGGCGCTTGAACTGCCTCCGGTGGCAGGCTGTTCCAGACCTTGGGGGCTCGGACAGTAAAGAAATTCTTCCTTATGTGCAGCCTGAAACGGTCTTGCAGTAGTTTGTAACCGTTCGACCTTGTCATCCCTTGGGGCACTCTGGTGAACAAATGTTCCCTCAAATACTGGTGGTCACCCCTGATAAACTTATAGGTGGCCATCAGATCACCACTGAGCCTTTGCTTTTCCAGGCTAAAGAGCCCCATAGAGACTCTGTTCTGTGCACCTTTGTTCAGTCTTCAATTATTTTAGTTTCTGGAATGCTTGTAGATGGTTGGTCATATTTTTAGGTTGTTGTACACAGTTGCCATGTGTATATATGTGTATGTCCTCATGTGGAAGCAGTGCAGACAAATTATTGTGGATTGCATCCAGGTTGTTAAGCTCTGCAACCACACTGCTTAGGATGCTAGAAGTAGTGCTTGCAAAAGTCCTTGGCATACCTCTGCACAGTGCTGTCTTCTGCTGTATAGACATGCCTAAAATGGTGAAATAGGAGCCTGCAGATGGGCTTGTGTGGGTGTCATCTAGTTTCCTTGCAGACTTTGTTTGGGATGGTTTGGACTTGGGCAGGGTGTTGGACTAAATCTCCTCTGGAGATCCCTTTCAGGCCTAATTTTCTATGATTCTTTGTTTTTGTTTGTTTGTTTGTTTTGTCTCGTAAAAAATAAAATAAAAATTTTTAAAAATAGTAGTTATTGTTGTTTTGTATTGTCCAACAGGAAAAAATATCTGATTTTTTTTCTAACAAAGCACTTACACTTCTAATACTGCACCTTGAAAACACTAATTCTCCCATTTTCATTTTTACTGTAACTAAAGTGGCTCAGTAATACAATTACTCTCTCCTATTCACATTAGCTTTCTGCTTGCCTTGCTCTTCTACAATGATTATTTCTGATAAATACTTCTAAAGCAGAACAAACTAACCAAATCTGCAAAGAAAACTCTGCCATGTTATCCATTCTTGAATAACAGGATTTGTAAGAATACTTGCTTATACATTTCTTCTTCATCCAAAACCTTTTTAACTTGTATTTTTCTTTTCTTTTACTCTCGTCTGACTGACAAACTACCCGTTTGTAGTTGCAACTAACTTAAATGTTAATTTTTATAGGCAAGGATTTTTTGGGTGATATTTCTTTTTTGGGCCAACCTCATAGTTGCAATAAAGCTAAGCAAGCTTTGAATGCAAGGCCTTCCTCTGTTATCGCCCCAAAATATCACCCAATATAGACCCTTGCTTCACATAATACCTTGAACCACCAGGGCAACAATATCTGTCCAACGCTACCAGATCTTATTCTTATTTTTCTTGGCTGTTATTATGCAGACCTTTTATAGCACTGAATTTTTCTCCCTTAAATTGCTCCCTTGTATACACTTGTGTCTAGTGCCCCTTGTGGGTTTTGAGTGCATTTCTAATGAGTTCATCTCTATTGAGTTCAGCATATATGTAGATTGTTATTTCTGTCTTTTAGTTTTGATCCTGCAGTCAAGGATCTCTTGCCCCTGGTCCTGTGAGATCTCTGTAAAACAGGAGTTAGTACTGATCCCCACAGAAGATAACCAAAATTTCAGCCTCTATTACGAAGTATGCTAATGCCGTTAAGCAGGGCATGTCCCGGAAGAGTTAACAGTAACAAGCATTACAAAACGTGTGGGGTTTCTTTTGTTTTGTTGGGGGTTTTTTGTTTGTTTGTTTGTTTGTTTGTTTGTTTTTTAACTCTGATATTTTAAAATGTATATTAGATGATGATGCCTTTTTTTCCCTCTTCTCCCCCCCCCCCCTTAGGGGTTTTGTGGTTACTCTCTTATTTGGAAAAACAAATTCGGAAAAATACCTTGAACAGTGTGAACACTCTTTTCTTCCTTCTACATCTGTTGGGATTTCAAAGGTAAGCTGTATAAAGACAAACGTACTGAATCTTTCAACCTTCATAACCTTCAAATTTATAACTTTCAACTTTTTAAATTTTTTCTCTTGAACATTTGAAATGTTTTTTAGGTAAATCCATATTTAAGGTGATCAGACTACTTCTAGTTTGAATTGGATTTCCTTCTGTAGAGTATAGGGAGGCAAACTTTTTTTTGTACTGTGCTTTCAAAATTACATTTTAAGTGTGATATTTCTTTAAGCTAATGGTCTATCTGGATAATGTATAGGGAACATGTCTTGTGTGCTTTCTGTAACTTCTGTTTTAACCTTTTAACATTTCCTGTTTTTTCCTAAGTATTGCTGCTTCATTTAATGTTTCTCTCTGGAATAGTCTGCAGAAGCACAGAAAGTAGATGGTTGCTGCTTTGCTCCCAAGATCACTGTCGCAGTTTTGTTTTTTTTTTCCTGATTCCTTATTTAAGGAATTAATTGCTCCTGATTCTTCCTTATTAAAATAATGATTAGTTAAACTGGTGAAGTCTGCATATGAAATGCCTGTAAAACTAGGAGTCTTACTCAAACCAGTAAAAGAAAAGTTGAACGATTGAAGGATCATCTTCCTTGCTTTTCTGTTAAACAGACCAAAGGAAGGAATCTGGTTTTGTCTTGGAGTCTCTCCCTTCAACCCTCTTCATCATTGGATAACTTTTATTTTTCATGCTAGAGGTAACGTTTTGGTAGCAGGCATAACTTATTCTTCCGCTTGAACTGTTCATATTTCCATGTAGTTTGATCATCTGTAGTGAGGCTTTAATAAATACTACCTTGTTTCTGGCTTCAAAATACAACAAAAGTTCTAAAGTCCTGCCTGCCTTCCTGACTTGGGAGACCCGAATTTATCTTCCTAATTTAAATTATCTTGGACCAATTGCTTTACTCTTCCATGACTCGGTTTCTCCCCTCCCCTCCCCTCCCTATGTATAGAATAGGGTGACCACTGACCTATTTCTTAAAGTGCTTTGAGATTCAGTGATATGAGTGCAATTACTTATTTCCATTGTATACACATACTAAAAAAGTAGAATATATTTCTGATAATTAGTTGGTTGAAAAGGTACTGATGTATCCTGTTGAAAGCATTTGTCAAGCCAGCTAATGCTTGCAAATTATTGAATACTCTTCAGCTTTTCTTGGCTCACCAGGACAATCAGCTGTTCCATTTTACAGAGCTTCTAGTTTGTCAATGACTGCATGCAAGTACAAAACAAAAATCTGACTGATCATTTTATTCCCTCATACTTTATGTAATCCTTGTATCATGAGCCTTCTGACATTTTTTTTAATAATGTGAGAAGCAAGGATTTCTTAGTGATGTCTTTTATTGGATCAACTATATAGTTGGGATAAAGTTTTTGACCAGCTTTTGAATGCAAGACTTTCTTCCTTAGCTTTGCCTTTGAAAACTGGTCTGACTTCATCTCAACAACTTAGTTGATCCAATAAAAGATATCACCCTAAGAAATCCTTGCCTCCTTGCATATTTTCTGGACCATCACAGCTACATCATTCTTACTTTTTGTAATTATAAATTTTACTGCGTGTTGTCATTGTTCTTACTGTAAACATTCTGGCTTGCTATTCTACAATGTAAATCTATTTACAAAAAGGAAAAAATAAGTGGCCACTGTATAACTATGCATGTTGAGTACTAAGTGTTTCTGGCTTGTTGGGTTTAAACCAATTGCTTTTGCAAGTCCAGATGCCTATATAAATTTTTTCAGTCCTCCCCATGAGCACAACAAAGGCAAGGAAGGTTCTTGATAGCTCATATATAGGGCCCTACCAGATATGTGACAGAAGTGGACTGCGCTGTGGCTCCTTTTAATCTTTCAGGTTCCCTCATGTCCCCCCTGCCGCTGATTGATGGAGGGGACCCATTTGCGGCTTGCTTCTGATTGACAGAGAAGCAAAAAGTGCATTTTTAAACTTGGTGTTTTTGTCTTCCTGCCACTGATTGGCTGAGGGGTGCTGGCGGCCCCACTGCTTATTGCTGACTGGTGCGGAGATGCACACAGTGCCAAATTTAAAACTGCAGTTTTCACTTCCCTGCTAATCAGGAGCAAGCAGGGCCTCTCCACCAAATGGTGACAGTGGGGTACGTGGGGGGACATGCGAGATAAAAGGATCCACAGTGTAGCTTGCTTCCACCATGAATGTGGTAGGACCCTACTCGCACTTCTAGTTAATTAGACTAAATCTTTGATTCATATTTTTGTTAAACTATGGAAAAACTAATAGAGCAATTCTTATGTTGCCAAGAACTGAAAAGACCACAACAGGTCAGAATGTTTTCCTATTTGAATTGGAATCAGATTTCAAATAGTATCTTGTGAATCATCATGTGTAGATGCTTACACACCTAAATAAGCTACTGTATTTACCTGAATATAAGATGGCCCCTAATAATTAGATGCTGTATATGGAAAATGTAACAATTGGTTATAATTTTTCCAAATACAGAATCTAATTTTTGGAGGCTTTCCTTGAATTTTTCCCTTTCCCATTTCTGTAGCAGGGAAAATTTAAATTGGCAGGGGTGGGGATTAGGTAACATCCAAACCGTGCGCTCCTTCCCTGCCCCCTCCCCGCCCCCCACAACCCCCTTACTGTTAGACTCTTACTTCCATGTACTCGGGGAGAGAAGGGACAAATTTGAAAACACTGACTTTGAAAGATATATGCCTAAAGTAATTTGCATGTAGACAGATTACTGTGGCTACTCACAGCTTTAGTTTATCCATAACTTAAATATTTTACCTCTTGAAACTGCTGCAAGATTTAGCACAGGTACTCCATAAACATACTTTTAAATAGTGCTTTTTGGACCAATTTGCCTAATATTAGTCCAAAGCCAAAAGTCTCATGATTTGCCATATAGCTCATGGGGCTGGGCCCCAACAGACCGCAGCATTTCAAGTCATGGTTCCCTAAGAGCTCAGCGCGGGTGGGTGGGTGGGTGTGTGTATGTGTGTACTTCAGATGCTCCCCCTCCCCTACAAAGGATCCATGTGCTAATCAGGCCCGCTGACTTCTGACTGGAACCAAGTGTTATTGTATAGTCCTGTGATCCTCATCTGTATGTATGCAGCTATGCAAATGAAGCACAGGGCAACCTGATCTAGCTCTCTTGGGGAAGAGAGGAGAAGCCTGACTGCAGGAGCAGCATCTGACACTGTGGAGGGATGGAGTATTTCCTGGTAGGCTTGAATGATGTTTAGCCAGACAACTTTAATTTATGTTACAGCCCAGGGGCTTGTTTTGTTGCTGCTTAAAGACCAGTGGTTTGGGTGAGGCTATTAGGGGTTGGAGAAGGCCTCATAGGGGACCCACAGCAGTGTGGGGACCCCAGCGCCAGCGAGGGTGCAGCATTTGGGGTGCACTGACCCCAGCCCCAGAGAGGGGGCAGCATTGTGAGCAGCCCCAGGAGAGGGGGCATCATTGAGCATCAAAGAGGGCACAGAGCAAGCCAGGGCTGTGCAGGGCCCAGAGAGGACAAGGGGGCCAGATTAATAAGGCCCAGACCGAACAATGTCAATTCCATCTGTGAGGCATGGTAAAGGGGTGGTTGGAGCCATACATAGCCCATAAGGCTAGGGTGCCCCTGAGGCACCCATTGCAGAGCGAGACCCACAAGGGGTCTGGTAGTCCACGGGGTCAGGTATTACAACAAACCGTGTCCAAGAGGACATAAGGCAGCCTCCCATATATTTATTCTCCATCAAAGATGTGGTGGGTGAGAAGTGAGGGTGCCCTTTGGGGCCAATTTGGCACGGGAAGGGAGCCTTGGGGAGGTCACAGCCATCCCGCAGGACCCCGCGCCATGACAGGCTCCCTTAAATGGAACTTGTCACCCTGTTTGAAAATCACTGGGTTAAACTGCCTATTTTGGACTTTTCGAATTGAGCTCATCTGCTTCCTCCATTTCCCTGTTTGACAAGGGAGAAATCTTCTCTGACTGTCAGGGTTCAGTGGAAAAACACTTATTTCATGGCTATCATGTTTTCATAAAAATAAAATCTATTTGTGGAGTTCCAACTTTCTGCATTCTCAATGTAGAGATTAGAGGAAAGTTTCAGTAGTGTGATCCAAGGGGACTTTTCTTATGTGAGCATCTGGAAGAGCTAGTCACTGGCTGTACCATAAGTGTTACCTTACAATTCTTTGAACCTAGGGAATCTTGGCCTGAAGTGCAAGTCTAATTCGTTAGAACTCTGTACATCTTCTCTAGAAGATGTCCTAGATATGTATCAAAAAACTTTACAGATTCCTTGATGGTCTTGTCTGTCTGTGCATCTGACTTCAAACAGTGAACTGTGCCTTTTTCTTTTTTACTCTAAGAGTAGGGAAGACGCAACTTAAATCATTTCTCCTTAAAACAGTCCTGGCCTCGATGATCTAAATGAACACCATGCATCTGTTTAATGAATTGAGTGTACCAAATGCTGATGGTTTACTTAAATGCTGATCTAAGATTTTGTGACCTTTTCTTTCAAGGACAGATTTATAAAGAGAATGGGTTCCTTATTAATGCACTTTTTTTTTCCAAGCACTGGATTGAATAAAGGAAAAGTTCTGCTCCACATATGAAATATATAAGCACTTTAATTTGGGAAGAGTAGAACTAACGTAGTTGCTAAAGTATGTAATCTCAAATATACTTACAGAATGTACCTGATAGCAGGCTCTAGGTTGTGATAGGCTTGTCCAGTGGAAAATTACTACACTAAATAGTGTTTGAGATTCAAGTGTTTTTACAACTAATTTATATGCAGACATACCTCTAGTATAATACACACTGAATTTTGAAAAGCCCCAAATTCAAAGTTTTACAGGGGGAAAATTCTAGAAAAGACAAGGATATAGATATGTAAAAGATTTTAAGTAAAAATTCTTTAATTTATGGGTGTTTCCTACTTGTTCTGTGAAGCAAGACGAGAAGGGCATGGTTGAGACGTTTTCAACTTGGATAAATAAAGCTTGATGAACACTACCTTGGGTTGCTTCTGCATAGAAGCAGGAACTCTGTGTGCGTGTAAACTACATGCGAGTGCCTGATTTTTGGATGAGATCTGACTGGGTATATTTTGAGAGTACAATTAAATTTTATCTGAAATCCTATTCACTTACATGACTGTGGGTCGTTAGACAAGCTACATCTCAGTTTGGAGTGATCATCTATTACTGTCATTAAGATCCAAACTTTTTTTTTTTTTACATTTCTTGAAATTGAGTGATTTTTAGTGATTTACTTGCCTTATGCCTCATTGGCATGCACAGAATCAAGGTTTTGAATAGAAGACATCATTTAAAAATAGGGGGCACTGATTATATCATTTGGCTATCAGATTGGCACCAATAAAGGAGAAATCATTGTTATCAGCTATTGGTTTTTCCTGGTCCTTATAGTAAATAATTGCAGCCATGTGCCTGGAGCACCCTGGCAAGTGTAGTCTGTCTGGTAAGTCTGTTGCAACAGAAGGGGCGTGGCAGTGGGCAGGCATGGAGGAAGGGAGTGGGGCTGTGCCAGGGGGAGGTGCTGCATGGCCAGGGCAGTGTGTAGGACAGCCCTGAGTGGCTTGTCCAGGGGATGTGGGGAGGGGGGTGTCTCCCTCCACTAATTGCACCCCCAGGGGAGGTGTATGCCCCCTGGATCTGTGTATGGGGTGAGGGTTGGTGCCAGGCTCTTCCTGGCAGAGGGGTTGGGCCGGGCTTGGTGCTTGTCCAGTCTCCTCTTGAAGACCCCCAAGGTAGGGGAGAGTTAATCGGCCATCTGTATTGGCCCAATAAATCTTATTGGTGCACCCTCACTTGGTTGACCCAATCTTAATGTACCCTTTCACATTTTTTCTGTGTTACTTTTAATTCTGTCTCTCCCTGGAGTAGTGTGTGGTTATTCATAGGGCCTAACTACATTTTGTGTCTGCAGGTCTTCTTTCTGGGAGCTTCTGTATGTTTTCTGCTAAGCAAAACTACACAATTTATAAAGTCTTAATATGCAACATGTATTTGCTTATCTTGTGTGTTATGTCTGTTAAAGGCAGAACACTTTTTTTTTTAAGCCCACTCTTGATGTTAAACCAAGGCAATGCTGTTCTATCTAGTGAATGTATAAAGTGGTATTATGATGTATTGTAAGTCTTAATTTATATTAATGGTATACATTTTGGATTTAATTTATGCTTTTATTTTTTGTATTAATGCTGAATATTTGAGTAACTATTCTGTAAGATGCTCTTAAAATTACTGGAACAGCATTTTTTTTTCATGGAGGTCATTTTTTGTAGAGGTGATAAATTGATCTTTTATTGAAGATGGTCTTGGGATCATATGGTGTTAGGAATATTGTATCAAAGCCATTGTTCTGTAAATACATGAACTGCATGTTCTCTTGGTACCAAGCTATGAAAACAAAAGCTCAAATTGCTATTTAAAGATTAGTTATCTTCAGGTGTCTTAATCATGGCCTTTTTTCTCCCTTTTTACTATTATGGCATTTAAGAGGAACCTTTTGGTGTGTTTGTTTTTTTTTTTTCCTCCCCAATGGACAATTGTTCTGCAACACTAGTCTCTTGTTCCATGTGCTGATTGAGTATGTGTGGGGGGGGTTGGGTGTGTATGTATACTGCAATAGGAAAAAGTTGGGCTTTTTATATATTGGATAGGTAGCAGTTATGCAGAATGCTGTATTACAGATTCTACACTAAGTATTTGTATACTATTAGCAGTAGACTTGGATTTTTTTCAATATGAATAAAAATATTGTAGTAAAGTTTGTATAATCTATTTTAAGTGCATAGAAGAAATGAAATGTGAATCCAGGCCTATTAAGATTGACAGAAGACTGACGGGTGCCAATATAATTGATGAACCTTTGCAGCAAGTGAGTTTTTTTTAATATGGAATATTTGAATTTTTATTTATGTGGTTTTTGTTGTTTTTTGTTTCAGGTATTTGTCTCATGTTCTTCATGACAGACTTCACTTGCATGTTCTATAAAATAAATGAACTGCTGTAATTGATTTATTACTTAAATACTAACTTCATAACCTTGTATGCCCTTGAAGACTGCTCTAAATAACTCTAACCTGAATACCCTTCACTTCATAGCTTAGAAATTACTTCTGTTAAATCAGAGACTTTCTATATGGAAAACTGAATTTCACCCTAAATTGTAGGGGCGGCTTGTAATAAACTCTTAATGTTACTTTAACTTCTCTTTTTATTTTATTTTATTTTTTTTTTTAATGGTTGAATAATGGCTACTGTCAGCACAGTGGCATGTGATTACTATGTACCATCTGCAAGTGTGAATGGAACTTGATTAAGGTGCTTGAGTACTGACAAAGTAGGCATTCCTACCTTGACATGATTGCTTATCTTTATCAAAAGATAGAAGGCTACATCTAGGTTGAAAATAATTCAGTCTCCATATGTTTTTCTCTACTGAATAGATGAAGATGAGAAACCACTGTTTAACACCCAAGCTCCTATGTAACAAACTACACTTAATGTTTCGCTGAGTTTTATGTTCCCAAAGACTGCTTGATGCCCCTTGTTGCCAGTAGCAAGTGAATTAAAAAAAACCTTCAATAGTATGGGCTAGCCTTTCTTCATTGTATTAAATTGTTCTGAATTGAAGATCCTTGGCTGTAAGCCCAAATGCTTTTTTTTTTTTTTTTTTTTAAGATGCAAAAATGCTAAGGTTAAACTTCAGGCACACCTTGTACAGAGACAATTTAATTTCATTTTCAGGAGGTATATTTTTGAAAATAACTTATGAAAGAGTGGGTCCTTTCCAAGTTCATATTGACAGGTACTTATATATGCATAGTTTGAGCTATTCAAAAGATTCTGTGCTTTAATATTAACACAGAAAAATGCTTAATTAGGATTTTTCACTCTTAAATTGAAGCACAGTAATTTGTACTAAACTGATTTTTTTTGTTTGTTTGTTTTGTTTTTTTTAGCCCCGGTTAAAATTATTACCCTGTGTCTCTTATGCTAACCATGCAGTTATCAGTCCTTCTAACTTTACATCCTTTCCAGAAGATTCTGGAGTTGCCTTCTATATTTCATTTTGGTGGCCTTAGATTTCCTTGATTCTTTATCTGCCTTCCACTTTACCTGTCAGACCCTATCTCCAAAACTTTCTTGATACTGGAAGGAGGTACTCATTTTCCAAATATGTTGCTGCTGCTTTTTAATGTTTTGTATCCAGTTTCTACTTCTGCTGCTTGTGTGTGTATTTGTCCTTTGCATCCTTCCCATAGAATATGGGAATTATGTAGGGAACAAACTAGAATTTGCAGGTGGAATGAGTCTTTCTCTTCTACAACCCTGATTTTTAGGGGTTCAGGACTCTTATGCCAGAGCCAAAGCTCTGCCCAACAGTCTGTAGTATTCCTGTCTAGCTAGGCAGAAGAACTGCTGTCTTGGCATGGCCCTGGCTCAGGCACCTTTTTGGGAAGAATTGATACATAGTCCCAAAGAATTGCTAAGACCTTTTGTGTAGCTTTTCTGCCTCTCATTCCTTTAGTCAAACAGTATGATAGCTGGTTCACTGTTTTTGAGCCTTCTGAAACTACAGAAATTATTGTGACACTGTAAGAAAATGTGCATAATCTGAGACCTTCTCCTTTTGGTAGTAACTAGAAAAAGCCAAAGGATGTCAGAATATTTATAAACTGCATCTTCCACATAAAATACATTCTCAGTTTAGTAATAGGGTGACTGCTGATCTCTGTACAATTACTAAGGTAAACATGAACTGCAGTACAGATGTAAAACCTCACCATGTCAATTACCATAATTTAACAAATGAAGGCATTGTTTTATGTGAATTTTGAGTCACTTGTTGCATCTCTAAGCACAAACAAGCTTTTTCTTTCTTTCTTTGTTTTTGTCTCTCTATAGGTAATCCAATTTTCCCTGAGGGACTATGTCCAGTATTGGTATTATACATTAAGTGATAATGAATCCTTTCTTCTTGAAATCAGGCAGGCTCTTCAAAATGCACTCATTCAGTTTTCTACCAGGTAAGATGTATTTATATTTAAATCAACTTGACAAATGCAGAAATCTTTCTTGGATTGCTGAGTCATTAAAAAGTACATGTGCAAATATTTTAGCTGCTATGCTGTATAGCTTAAAAATAAAACTATTGTGAAATGATTCATTGTCTCTTCAAATAAGCACAAGACAGCTGCAAATCTTGTCCATCCTGTGACTTAAATTGGTGAGATGATGTTTCCTGACAAACATTTCTAATGAAAAACTAGATTATTTCACCAGTGAGAGAACCGTATTTGTATATAAAAAATATTGTTTTGGTAACAGGATGTGTGTCCAAAAGAAAGTCTGTCAAAAACACAGTTGGAGTATTTGGATAAGAGATTTTTGCAATAAAGGGAGCTGTTTATGGCTTATGACTTGGTGTTCTGCACATAGTTGTTCTCTTCAATATGTACAAGCAGTGCAGTGTTTTTCAGGCAAGTAAAACATCAGTGTCAAAGAGGAAATGGCATGCATTTTGACCTGAGGCTTATTTTGAAATTCTGTTTGGTCACATTTGTAAAGATTGTACCTTTTACCCGCTTTCAGTCGAGCACGGTGTTTTTAAAGATATTTTCTCACTGCATTGAGAAACATATACTAACAAATAAAACATCTATTATATGGACAAAAGGATGAAATTGACTAAATTATATATTAGGGCTGTGCAAAGCTTTGGTCTGTGATTCAATTTGGCCTGATTCGGTGGCCAAATCTCCGAATCTGAATCGAATTGGAGGACCCTTTAATCTCTCCTGTCTCTGTCGGAATCGACTTGCTTTAAATGATTTTTCTACCTACCTCTAGGTAGCAGGGGCACTGAACCCTGCAGTGCTGGGGCAGATGTGCTTCTGTTGGATGCGGCAGGGGGCTTCCTAGTGTACTCAGAAGTGGACCAGAAGCACTTCCAGTCCACTTGCTGGCCTACTGGGACCCCTATGCCCCCCCCCGGCTTGGCGACTGGTGCCTTATGGGTTTGGGGGGGGCACCCAGGGTCCCCCTGTGGCCAATCGCTGGGTTGGGGTGGGGTGCCAAGGGGCCCCCCAGCATGCTCCCTGGCAGACCTGGGTTTGCTGCCAAGCATGCTGGAGAGCCTCCTGTGCTGCTGTGGGATGCTGCATCTGCCCCAGCACTGCAGCGATCACAGCCACATTGCTACCTTGAAGTATGTAGAAAAAACTTTTAAAGCTTTGCCTGTGCCCAAATCGCTGGTTTGCTGAATCGGCATCCCATTGTCAGATTTGAATTCAGCTGAATTGAATTGGGGACAGTGATCAGAATCAATGGATTGAATCGCTATCTCTGATTTGGGCCGAATCTGAATCGAATAGGACCCGTTTTGCACAGCCCTACTATATTCATAAGTGCATAAACACTGGGATTTTTTTCCCCGTCTCATCTGCCATTTACTTTGCAGGCAAAATTTGTCCCATGTAGCATAGCTTGGGAACCACCACTGTTGTTAGAGTCAGAGTTTGGGGTTGAATAATCTGTCTTGTCCAGTTTACATGGATTGTCTTAGTTAAAAAAAAAAAAAAAAAAAAATCACCCACGGTGCTTGGAGGGATGAAAGCAACCAACTGTAAAATGGACCTATACCTGTTCTGGCTTGTAAAAGTCAGTTGGGGGAGCCTGGGGCCACTGCTGGCAGGAGTTGTCAATGCTTCTCTTGGGGATGGCAGGGTAAAATGTCACTGACTCCTTTTCAAGAAGCCGGTGCTTTGACTTTCCATATAGTTATTTCCCTGTCTCCCACTTCTGTCGGGAGGGTCATTATCACACCACTCCAGGCACATCTGGATGCCATCTGTTTCCTAGACTGTTGTCAGTCCTGGGCTTCTTTCAGGAGATGGCAAAGACTGTGCTTGTGGCTGTGGTTGATGCTCTTTACCTAAAAATTGACACGGGAAATTTTGCTCTGCTAATCTTAGTCAGTCTTTCTGCAGCTTGAGGTGCTTATAACATTTACATGACCTGGTAGGTATTCATGGGTCAGCTCTAAATTGGTCTTGCTTTTTCCTAGCAGGTAGGTCCCAGATAGCTGTGATAGGCAAGTGCTAGTCATCCACCTGGGGCCTTTCCTGTATTGTCCCCCAGGGCTTCATCTCATTTCCCCTTCTGTTCAATGTGTATAGGAGGCCATTTGTGTGAAATTTGTATAGAAATTTTAACTGAGAGGCCATCAGTATGTTGATGATGCCAATCTCTACCTCTTGTCTTCTGAGACTGTAGAGCTAGGTTCAGTTCTTTCCCAGTGCCTGCAGTTGGGAGTGGGAGGTGGGTATACCAACTGAAACTGAATCCAGACAAGACAGAGGCGACAGTCATAGGCAGACCATCTGACTTGGTGGGGGTGGGGACAGGGCTGGGACATCTATCGTTTAGGGTTCAGACTCTCCTTGTCACTCAGGTTTGCAGCCTTGGAGTACCTCTTGATCCTGCTTCATCTGGAGCTTCAGGTACTAGCTGTGGCTAGAAGTGCTTTCTAATGCCATTTGGTGAGAAGGCTCAGGCCTTTTCTCATCTGGCCACCGTGATTCATACCTTTGTTATCTCAAAGCTGAACTACTACAATGTGCTATATGTGGGGCTGGCTGCCTTTTGTAAACTATCTGGAGGCTGCAGCTGGTGCAGGACACAGCAACCCACATTCTGATGGGTGAGAGTCACCAGAAACATGCAACTCCAGTTCTCCAGAGAATGCACTGGCTTCCAGTAGCTTTCCATGAGCAATTCAGTTTTGACCTATAAAGCTGTAAGTGGCCTGGGAGCTACATACCTAAGGAACCATCTTATTTTTTGTCTTGCCACCATCCTCAAGGTTGGCCAAAACAACCAACCTCCTTCAGATACCATCACTGTGCCAAGTCTGCTTGGTGAAAAATGCATGGGAGGTTGTTCTTAGCAGTCATTTTTCAGATCTGGAATTTCCTCCATCCCAAGGCCTGCCAGAGCACAACAAGCCTGGACATCTTTCAGAAGCACTGCAAGATCTGTCTGTTTGGGCAGGCATTTCACAACCAAAACTAGGCCAAAATATTTTATAAGGTCTCTACTTTGTTTCATCACATTCTCCTTCAGATATCTGTATGTACATCCTTGTTGTGTGTGTGCATATGCAACAGTGCTGAAGCTTGGAAACCTTTTTCTGTATGAGAACCCAAAGGACATGCCATACCCTTTCCTTCCCCTTATGCTTGCAGGTTAAAGGGTAATGTGCTCTTCAATTGGTTCAGTACTCATAAGGCCGCCAATGTGAGGACGTGGTCAGGAAAGCTACCTGCACCTTGTCATGCATCCACTGATGCATCACAAGTAGGTCCAAGGAGGTGATCCTCCCCCTCTGTGACACTGGTCAGGGCACAGCTGGAGTACTGCATCCAGTTCTGGGCGTCACACTTCAGGAGGGATGTGGACAGCATCGAGAAGGTCCAGAGGAGGGCCACTCACATGATCAGGGGTCAGTAAGGCAGGTCCTATGAGGGCTACAGGACCTGAACCTGTTCAGCCTCCACAAGAGAAGGCTGAGGGGGGATCTGGTAGCCATCTATAAACTGGCCAAGGGGGACCAGCAGGCAGTGGGAGAGTCCCTGTTCCCCCGAGCACTACCGGGAGTAACAAGGGATAATGGCCATAAGTTGATGGAGAGTAGATTCAGGCTAGATATCAGGAGGCACTACTTCACAGTCGGGGCGGCTAGGATCTGGAACCAACTTCTAAGGGAAGTGGTGCTCCTACCCTGGGGGTCTTCAAAAGGAGGCTAGATAATCATCTAGCCAGGGTCGTTTGACCCCAGACTTCTTTCCTGCCGCGGCAGGGGGTCAGACTTGATGATCTGCTCAGGTCCCTTCTGACCCTACCAACTATGAAACTGGTTTTAGTGTCATTGGTTTGACAGAAAACACTGTGGCTTATGATCTTGGAGCCTGCAGTGTAGTTGAAGTATGTAGAGCTTCTAGCCCCTTTTATTTGTCTCTTGTCTTTCAGATTTACTTTTGCTGTCCGCTGTGACCCTTGGGGGGGGAGGGGGGGGGGGGGGGGGGGAGAGGAGGGGCAGTTGCTTCATCAGCAATGGGATTTGATTTTTGCAAATCTCTGGCGCTATGGTGGTTTCACCTGTAGGTGAAACTGATAACTGTATTGTCTCAAGTCCTGGGAAGTGTTCCATATGCAGATCATTTACAGCTATGGAAGAGTACGAGAATTCTTTCTCATGGCTAATTCACATGATCAACACCTGAACAGGGACATGTAGCTGGTGCTACATATTGTGCAGTAGCAGTTTGTTAGTAAGACTGATCTCAGCCTCAGTTCTGGTAGTGTCTTTGAACTATAGCTCTAAGGTCAGTTCCCAAGAATGCCCAAAAGGAGGCCTTCCTTGTTTATATTCTTAATGGTACATAAACTTAGTCTAATCTCTGGTTATAGAGTTCAGGTCCATTGGGAGCTATTAAATAGAACAGTCAAGGATGTTCCCTGACATCCCTAAACCAATGATGGTTTTTTATGAGGGAGGATATGATGGGATGGATTACACTAGACTTACTCTGTACATATACTTTCCCACTAAATCATCTGCTACTTGCTGTTACTGTTGACAGGTACTAGGCTAGAGATTATTGGCCTGACCCAGTGTGGAATCTCTCTTGTTCTTTACATTGCTCACTGCATTCTTGGATGTCACATCTCTGTGAGGATATCACTGAAGCTTCCAAGGTGGAACTGCCTGCTGTAGCCAAAGCACATTCCACCGTATCTTGCTTGTGCAGTTTCTCTGAATCTGTATCAGCAGGGTGGTCACTTGGAACTTCATCGATGTCTCCAAACATTATAGTTGCATAAGTGGTCTTCCAGTTCATGTTGCCAAGAAATCTCAAAAGCTTAATTCCAGGTATAGAGGCACTAGTTTGAATCCTCCTATATTGAGAATACATATATGGATAGCTGCTCAAAGAACACTGTCCATATGTACATCTGCATCCTTGCCTCCCATCCTTTCTTGCTTGGGAGTCTCATGCCATTTGAGATTTTTGGCTTGGAAGAAATAGTCCTTTAGCACAACACAGGGAGAGACTGGCTATGCAAACTTTACTACTAAGGGGAAAAAGGTCTGAACTTGAATGTTGCAAGTCATATGTACTCAAAATGAAGCTCTGCATAGGAAGACTCTTGTTGCAGGCCATTATCTTCTTAAATCTCTGGTGATGAAGGAGCTGATCTAAATTTTGTGAGTAAGTTTTAACTGGGGGAATCTACTGATGAAACTGGAACTACACTGATATAGACTCCTAGTGTTGAGACAGTTGGCTTCTCTTAAAAGAAACAGCTTTATCCTCCATGCTTATACTTTACAAGTTCCTTTTTGCACTGATTCAGTGGGGCTACACTGTTGGTAGTTATATTTCAGGGTATGGCCTATGTAATTTTAGGCAGCTTGTTATGGGCCGGAGAAGATGTTGGTGGTGTTCTGTTGCTTGAACTTGGAGTATTTCAGTTCTAGCCATAATGTTACCAGAAAGAGAACCAGAAGTTGTAATAGCCTTAAGTAGCAGTAGTATAAACAAATAGCAGTGAAATTAGTTACCAAACTTTCCTCAACTCAGTTTGAATCAATTTTACAATCTGTCACATGTAATGGCTAGTGATGAAGCAAAAAAATAGCAGGTAGAACTACAGGATGTAACTTGGGTGATCCAGGATATGTAACAGGGGAGCTTAGTATCAGGGAAAATACCTTGCTGTTGAAATCCTAGGCTGTGGAATAGTGGAAATGGCTTGGAAGCACCATCGCTTGTGATTCTTAAGACTAAACTAAGCAAAACCCTAGACAGCTTACCATAGGAAATAATGCTGTATGACCACCAGTAGGTACCCTGGATGCTCACTTCCAATTACTGGTTTGTGAATAAACTTCAGTGATTTTTGGTTTTACAAGCAGGATCAATAGGCTGACTGCATACTGCTTAGTAGGGCTGTGTAAAATGGGCCGTATTCTATTCAGATTTGGCCCGAATTGGGAACAGTGATTTGATTCGTTGATTCGGATCACTGTCCCAATTTCGTTTCAGCCGAATCTCAAGATTCAATGCTGATTCAGAGAATCAGTGATTCGGCCATAGACAGCTTTAAATGTTTTTTCTACATAACTTGAGGTACCAGGCACAGCTTGTGAATGCTGCGATGGTAGAGTGGATGGAGCATCCCATAGGAGGATGGGGAGGTGGAGGTGGGGCACCCTGTGTGCTCCTGTTGGATGTACCATCCACACCAGCGTCTCAGTATTCATGAAACACCTGGTACCTTTTGAGGTATGTAGAACAAAACATTTAAAGCTGTGTCTGTGGCCGAAATCATCGAATCTCAAAATCGATTTTAAAGGGTTTCCCGATTCGATTCAGCCACCGAATTGGGCCAAATCTCTGCCGAATCGAATCGGCAATTTTTATTTATTTATTTTTTTTTAAGCTTCACACAGTCCTACTGCTCAGTTCTTAAAATGATTTAATAGCTGGGTCTACAGCTGGCACAGCTAGGTGGAATTAGCTCTCTTTTACCAGCCTACAGTGTAACCGAGGCATGCTAAAAGGAGAATGAATATATAACGCATGATTTTAAAGTTTTCTTTTTAAAAGATGCTCATTAATGGAATTATGTAAGGCTGCCACCTAGTGTTTGATTTATCAAGTACTGTGGATGAAGGAGTCCAGCTACTGAACTATAAATAGCTTTGGTAACTTTTTAACTTCATGACCAGAATATCTTCTGCTTTTTACTGTTCTGCCTTCTTTCTGATATTGACTTTAATCTTGTAAAGTTCTTTGCATCTGCTTTGGGGGATTAGTTATATAGAAAATAAATTTTTCTTTGTAGTATTGTAGAATTTGGCAGAGTGGGTTCCAGAGTAGTTTGCTCTTTCATTTGAGAGAATTCAGGCAAGGGTATTTTTGGCACAGAGAACTTGTGATAGGTTAGTTTCTGTGTTTTTTACTGAAGCCATTAACTGTTGCTTGGAAAACTATAGTGCAGAACACAGTTTAGGTGTAGTTTTTGGTACATTAATGAAGTGCCACTACATGAATGTGTTAAAACATTTGATGTTGTTCAAAATGTATAGTGCAAATCTTTTTAGTAAACTTGTGATTATTACTAGCTAGCTGCCTCTAAATTCATGTTTTTTAAAGCTATTGCTTGTTAATATATATGCGCATACATACAATATAATATTGAATTTGCATGTAGCTGTTATGCACACTTTAAGTGTGCATATATGCATGCAAAGCAAAACCAAAGAAACGGGAAGAGCCTCTTCATTGCTGTGACAGCAACAACAAAATCTTAAACACAGATGTCCTCCCATGTGTAGTTATGGGGCTGAAAGTAGGACTGTAACAGTAAACCCAGTAAATCTGCTGGCTTTTGAAAATGTGCAAGTTTTTAATTCTTTTGTTTTCAAGTAGCAGTTGTTCATATTGGCATTACAAGATAGAGCTTTATTCCACCTAAATTATTTAGTTGATATGTAGTCTTTTTTTCTGAAAGGTCAAAAGAAATAAACTGGCAGAGTTATTTCACTACACGGCTAGTTGATGATTTTGGCACTCATCTGCGAGTATTCAGAAAAGCTCAGCAAAGAATAATGGAAAAAGATGATCAGATGAAAGGTAAATGTCATTGTATAAAAATAATTAAGTATAAATTGTTACATTCTACACTTAATTTTTTTGTGTTTTTATTTGGTTACTTTTGATTTAGAAAAGGCTTTCATTCATATATATATATATATATATATATAAATAAAAAAAATAAAAAATAAAATTTGTTTTCTAAACAAGCATTTTCTAATTTCTTTTGTGAAGATACAGCAGAAGAACTTGTAGATACGTTCTTTGAGGTTGAAGTTGAAATGGAAAAGGATGTCTGTCGTGACTTAGTCTGCAGTTCTCCCAAAGATGAAGAAGGTTTCTCTTAATTTTTTTTTTTGAGGGTTGTGTTACAGGAAACTGTAAGAAATATTACATCCATTACTAAAATGGAAGCTATGCCAAGCTAAGTTTTTGTAACTTTATTACAAACAAGTGTCCTTTGATATTTCATTCATTTGGTGTATATTAATATATTTTTAGTAGCAGTTGTGCATTATGTGTAAAAGGTTGACAGATATTCCAGATGGAAATGTGCCTTTATTAAAACTCTTGATATGGCATGGTGGGAAGGAAAGGCTAATCACTTTTCAAGCATCCAATGTAAACCTTTCTCTGAATGAGGAAACAGAAATTGGTTTAGCTTTAAAAAGAAAAGAAAAAAAGTGATTTTGATTTTTATGCCTATAGGCACTAAAGCATTGCAAGTATGAGAAACAAACCTATGGAAGGATTAGCTGCTGCTTTGAGAGCAAAACAAGCCCTTTACATGTTCATTTCTGTTCCAGATAATATAAGCAGTAAATTATTTTATAAAAAAATAATTCAGTGCACTGTGAGATCTTGAAAAGATCTTTTCAGTTAAGTGGCATAAAGTCAATTTGGAAAGTAAAGACATTAGAAGGTTTAGAGGGTCTTTTTGTTCATCGTAGGAACATGTAGAATGCAACAAGTATGCATTTTCTGACGTACTTTTCTCCCAGGTTTTCTAAGGGATATGTGTGAGGTTTTACTGTATATATTGCTACCTCCTGGAGACTTCCAGAACAAGATCATGCGATACTTTGTCAGGGTAAATATAAGCTTTACAATCCTAAAATTGTCACTTGCACAAAATATCATAATGTGTAGGATATCAGATCTGTGCTGTATAAACATGATCATTGTATTTTACAGTAATAATGAATAATAGGTATCTGGGGCTGCTGACAAACGTGAAAAACCAAAAACTCCCATGCTTTACTGGAAGAGGCATAGCACGTTAGTTTGACCTAGCTCTGCAATATCTGTCTAGATCTGGTGCTTCAGCAGGGCTTTTTTTAACACTTTATCTAAAACTGATTTAAATCTGCTGTTAGATAAGTGCCAAAGAAAACCTCGCTGAAATGTCCGATCTATACAGATGTCAGGCGAGCTGGGTTGAAGTAATGTGCTGCCTTTTCTGGGCATGCGCTGAGCTTGGCACAGAAGTGCACGGAGTTTTTTTTTTTTTTAAAGCACCGTTGACTGTGTTGGGGTTTTTTTAACGTCTGTAAGCAGCCTAGGTGCCTATATTAGGAAGAGAAATACTAACTGAAAATCCAAGTCTGTCTTTGTCTCTCTCTCAAATCCTATCCTAATGAGATTTTATAAATTGCTAGAGATGAGAGAATTTCTTGGATATACAGTGGTTACTGTTAGTATTGTTCTGTATTTACAATGCAGTGATTTTTGTGATTCATTTAATTTGTTAAAATGAGAAATAGTTGAACTGCTTGGGGAGTAATTGACATTTGGATGCCATCAAATGTATTTTGTCAAATTAATCTTAAATTCTTAATTTTATGGAAATCAGTGTTCTGTTGTTTCATATTTCTCTAAGGAACCTGTCATTTGAGAGAGAGAGAGTAGCTCTCCCTTGTGGTCAGATGACTTCAGGTTGAAGGCTAGCATTCTTCACTTTTGATCACTCAGGCTGTTTCTGTGCATGTGTATAAACAAATATAAGCTTTTATCTGAGCTTTATACTTTTTGTGTAGATTTAACTGGTATGAATTGTAAATTTATAATTGTGTAATTTCTGATGGTTTCAGGAAATCCTCGCCCGAGGAATTCTTCTTCCATTAATAAACCAGCTCAGTGATCCTGATTATATTAATCAGTATGTCATATGGATGGTAAGGTTTTAACTTTTTTTTTTTTTTTTTTAATGGTGTTTTGATGGTATTTTCACAATATTTGTGAGAGAGCATCTTTGGTCCTGGACATCTCAGCATGGCTAGTGTGTATGTAGCAGAAGTATGTAGTAGTAACTTACTATGGAAGAGATTGTATAATATGACAGTGGTTAACTGAGTATATGAATTTTTTTTCATTTTATACTTTGCTTTAATTGTTCATACTTTCTTTTTTTCAGGCTGATTTTTTTTTTCCTACACATCTTCAGATGACCTAATTTGAGCAAAATGGTCTCTGTATTTAAAATAGTAATTCTCAAAATTCTTAAGTGCAAGAGTAATCCATTAATGAGTTTTTGGGGTTGTGTATTTTGGAGTTGTGCTGAGAACTGGTTTTGAAGAGACGTGACGCATTGAAATCATAGTTTGTACACGCAGGAACCTGTGCAGTTCAGGAAGTCTTCTATTGCACGTTAAAAAAAAATTGTTATTTTAATGTGTTGATTGTATAGCTAAAGGCATACAGTTTCTAAGGCTTATAGAGGTCGCCTAAACAATGCACAGAAGAGCAGATAAAATGTAAGATTGCATATGCAGCCTTACGTTTGTCATTCCCTGGCTTCCATTGTCTACCTGCATAATCTATAATATTCTCACCATGTTGATCTAAAATTAAGCAATGAAAAAAATTAGGGAAAAATTAGTATACTACAGCTTCAGGTTAGCAGAGATGGTAGAAAAGCAATGGTAAAAAAAAAAATTAGGAAAGTTTTCAACCTACACATCTAGCTACAGCAAAAGTTTATCAACCTGGATGACCCGAGATCCTTTTAAGGGTGCCATATAATCGCATCTACATGTGATTCAGAAGATTACACCTAAATATTTGAAATATAAACATTTGTAGTGTCCCAACACATTTTGACCCTTTGTGGTCTTTCTGAATCCTTTTCTTACAAAGAACTGCTCTATCTTTCCATGCTCAGAATGAATTAAATCTAGAAGCTAGTGTTTTCTGAAGGGTGCCTCAAGTCTAAGCAGGTTGAGAATCTTAGAGCTGGAGGATGTGTTTTTAGCTTCTAGGCTGACTGGAAAGAAGAATTGTAATTATTCTGAGACCAGTATTGTACCTTTCAGCTTTTCACTGGTTTTGGAAGTCCATGAAGAAGATTCTTTCATTAAAAACTAATCCTAGCATTTTTGGACCTTTTTAGTGACAAGTTACTTGAGGGCAGCTAGCTTTTTAAGTGAAGATCTGGCATCTTGCATGAATTAAATTTCCTCTCCTTTCCACCCCTCCCTGAAAAAAAAAAACAAAAAACCCCAACTACTTGATGGCTTGATGGTACTACTTGCTTTTTCAGTCTATAATTCAAAATAGTTCTAACTTGGCAAACTGACATAAAGTCGGTGCTTAAATTCTGCCTCCGTCAGGGGTATAAAGCAGAGAAGGTAAATATGATCTTACTAAAAATGGGAAGTGGTCATTTTACTAATTTTTTTTGACATTGAGGTTTCCTGCGTAAAGTTCTCTGGTTGTAATAAAATGGCTTGGTATTGAGCACTTCCTGTTGAGAGCTGTCTCAAGTCAAACTGTATAAGAATAATACTGTTCTGTAGGCACCAAACTTTTCTTTTAAAAACACTTCAATCTTTCCCTCTTTCCTTGCCTGTTTCTGTCTATTCTACTTAAGCTTGCTGCATAAATTCACTTTTAATTATTCCCTGAGCATTCTGTGAAGTCCATCCCAACTTGTTTCTTTTGCCATTAATACATTGACATTCTGTTTTGGTATCACCGTATCAGAATATTTATACTAATTTGTTTTCTGGAAAAGAGAGCTGTTTTATACTTGTCACATGAAACCTACATTAATGGATTGGTTTGTTGCTGTCTTTATATATAAAAGAAGGCCTATGGGGGGGGAGGTATTTCTTTTCTGGGTTTTTTTTTCTTTTCTACCTTTATAAGGTACTAAGTTTTGAGTTCCCTGGCTTGGTTTCAGTGCGTTTAACCTCTAATACCCAGTACACTTTTTGAGAATATTGGTTCTTTTGGGCTTGGTTTATGAAGCAAGGCAGGGCTTTCTTTTTTTTTTTTTTTTTCCCCCTCAGCTCTTTTCTCTCCTCTTCCCCCCCCCCACCCTCACCCTTCCCATGGCAATACTTTAAGGTTTTCAATGGGAGCATTGGTGTGCTGGGTTAAATATTCAGTCTCTGCTGTCCACTTCCACTCTTAAAGGACTGGAGTGGCATAGATAGACTCTAAAATTTCTGGAATCTGATTGTGGGGTAATTGATCTGATGCACAAACCAAGGAAGCCTGCCACAGTCCTCCAAGGGCTGTATCATATCATAAATCCTGGTCAGATGGGTTGGGGCCAGTGAGCCATGTGTTGGGTACAAGGTGACAGCATGCAGTGTAGGAGAGAGTCAGAGTTTTTTTATTTTCAGTGGGATTGCTGTGTTGTGTTTTTTAAATATTTAAAGCATGGGCACTCAAACATCTTGCTGGCCAGATCTGACCACCCCCCCCCTCCCCCCCAAATTATCTGGCTTTCAGCGCTTTCTATTGGTCAGAAAATTTGGTGGTGCGGGAATGGCGGTACTGCTCCCCTGCTGCCAAATGCCCAGACCTGTTGGGAGCCGTGAACCCTGTGTGTTCGTTTGGGCACTTGATTCCAGTGTGTAGGAGCACTGGGCAGGGGTGGTGTTGGATTCCAAGGCCTGATCTGGCCCAGAAGGCAAAAGACTTAAGCACCACAGTGTTAAAGGATTGTTGACACCCCATGCTCAAAGCAGGGTCAGCCCCAACTAGATCATTCCAGCCATTTGTTGAGCAGGGCCTTAAAAACCTTTAGGGATGGAGATTCAACCCATTCTAATGCTTCACCATCCTCCTGATTCTTACGTGGTGGGGGTGTGGTTCCTAATGTCTAATGTAAAATTTCCTTGCTGCAACTTGATACCATTGCTTCTTGTTCTGTCATTTGCTACCACTGAGAACAGTCTAGCTACAATAATCATTTTGTTGCTTCTTACATTTCTCGCTTTTTACCCAAGGGGACACCATTGCTGTGGGAATCCCACCACTAGGCTTTTAAATTCCATGCAAACAGCTTGAAAATCTTTGAAAGGTTAGGTTTGTATAAACACTAAATATTCTAATAAAGCGACAAATGCATTGAATTCAAAAGCTTGTCTAACTTTATGCCAACCACACAATTGGTGTAATAAAATGTATCACCCACAAACATTCTTGCTTAGTTTTAAACTAAATTTTTAAAAGTTTGAACTTCTATGCAGACTTACTTCCCCCAAGGATACAAATCCAAGATAGCAGTTCTAATTTTATCTTTGTTGTAGTTTAGTAGGATTGTTGGATTGTTCTTGAGGTCATGATGGTATATGGAATGTGTTTAAAAGCAAGGTTTCCTAGAGCTATTGGCCAACAAAATTATTTGACTCCATTGGTGGTGTTAGAGCAGTTGAGTATTATTTACCATGTCATGCTCCTTTAGTTTAGATGGTCTATACATGTGCTTTCAGGATACCATCTATGGTCGTATGCTTTTACTGCCTTGTAATAAGAAAGTGTAGGCTTTGGCTCATAGTGACAAAGCTTGGCAAGGATGTCTACCAACATGCCTAATGTTGGCATCCATGACCAGCTGGTGGTACACAGTGCTAGCTGAATTATTTTCAGGCGTGGTACTAGCATAATATGCAGTGAAGTTGCTCACTTAGCTCTGTGGTGTACGAAGGGGATTTAGGCCTCTTTTTATATACACCAGGGGTGCTCTGCCCCTGACGCCTTGTCATCCAGCCTGTGGAACTCCCACCTTGTCTGTGGGGAGGTTGGTGGGCCATGGTCTTGCCCATTTAGATCCAGTGTGCAGGGGAGTGCGGAACCCCAATCATGGTGGGTGCAGGCTAGGTGGCCCCACACCACTCATTTGACCAAAAGGTTGAACACCACTGACATGCACAGACAACTTCGTGTTTACAGTATATACATCCTAATTCTCACCAATTAGTATGACCTTCCTGCCAGGTATGGAAAACTGTTAGCCAAGTCGCTCTTACCTTTTTGTTCATGTCCTGTAATGGTCTTATCAATTCACTTTGGCCTTGAAAAGCACCTACGAAGACAAACAACCTACTTTGTACAAGCTGTATATGGTATGCCTAGTTTTTTTTTTTTTCTAGTGAGGCCTACTTTGGTTCATGCTGTTAGCGAGGCCTCTGTGTAATTTGTATATGTATTGATTTAGTGGTTGCATTAATCCATATTCTAGCAAGACCTACGCTGTACAATACCATATCAAAATTGCCATTATTCCTTAAGTGACTGATTTATACTTCACTGTGAAATTTATGCCATGGATGTCTTTTTTTCATTTGTATGATTTGTGCTGTAATTTTTCCGAATGTTTCAGATTCGTGATTCCAATTGCAACTATGAGGCCTTTATGAACATTATTAAATTAAGTGATAATATAGGAGAGTTGGAAGCAGTCAAAGATAAGGCAGGAGAAGAACTGCAGTATCTGCGATCCTTGGATACAGCAGGAGATGGTTAGTGTGTTAATTTTCACAAAGAAATAAATGGCCAACAGGATAATTTGTTTTAAAAGGGTTATTTCAATCAAGGCAAACTCTTAACTTAAAATACATTTTGAATGTTCAAATGCTTTGCAGAAAGACCAAACTTGAGGTTTTCTATCATGATGTGAACAGAGACAGTCTCTACCTCAATTCCAATTTCTGTGTTCTCTCATCACTATATCCAGGGATCCTGTTTTTTTTTCTGTTTTAAAAAATCACAAATTCTCTGATTTAAAGAAAACCTGACTTGCAACCCCCTACAGTGAGGAAGGGGTTGTGGGTGTGTTAGGAAGGTGGGGTATAGGCACAGGTGACAGGTGGGGGGGAGCATATGCCTCCTCAGATTTCTGCACCCACAGTGGGGCTCAGGCTTACTACCAGGCTGGACCAGCTCCAGGCAGGAGCTGCCTCTGCAGCCCAGCAGGCAGGACCCGGAGCCGGAGGGAACAATGCCCTGCCATGGCCACTGAGGTGAGGTGCCCCCAGCTCACCTGGCAGCAGTGAGGGGCACAATTCCTGTGCTAGCATTGTGCCTCACCTTAGCAGCCATAGCATAGCACATGTCTCTCCCATACATTGCCTGTGCTGTCCCTGCCCCTCCCCTGAGAATTTTTTTTTTTTTCCCCATGGCAAATGGAAAACCCAGATCCCTGATAATATCTCTTAGTTAAACATCTTGTTAAAATGCATTTTGATAGTGATCTTGTGCATTAAAGTAAAATGACCTTGTTGCTGAGATGAGTTTCAATAGTATTTAATTTAGTAAAATTGGGAATAAACAATCAATAAGTAGTTACATTGAAAAGAGTAGAAGTGGGTTTTTTGTTTCACTTCATTTCTTCCACTTGGACATTGTATATTGGGGGGGGAAAAAGAAAATTCTAGGGTGTGAAGTTTACACTCAGGCTAGCAGGTAATACTGCATTTAAAAACAGGAACAAAACAAAAGGAATACATAAAATATAAATACAATCAAGAAAGGTCAAATGTTTATTCCTTAAACTAATGTAAATCTACCTTTATTGATTAGTCTTTGTTCTTTGTTTTCAGATATCAACACTATAAAAAATCAAATAAACAGCTTACTATATGTTGTTAAAGTATGTGATTCAAGAATACAGAGGTTGCAGTCAGGAAAAGTAAGTACTTTTTCTGTTAGTGTTAAATCACTGAGATTGTGGGTAAATTGCTACAAATTCTCAAACAAAGAAAAGTGGTGGGTGTTTGTGTTGTACAGTAGAACCTAGATTTTTCTTTTTTGGGGGGTGATTTGCAGCTTTATATTTTCAAATGTGGTGCTCAATTAAGAGACCCACTTATCTGCTTGCAGTAGCTTTTACTTGAGTGCTGCTTTTCTAGCTGGATCACCATCACTGTCCCATGTGTGTGTGCGCGTATGTATGTATATTTTGGAACCAAGAGTTCTAGTTTTTTGTATGTCAAACTTTTTATCTGTGCACTCAGATATATTTTGTGTACACAGCGGAACCTGGATTCTTAGCAGATTTAAGTTCCTAACCACTGTGCTTTGTGACGCATCTGAGAGTGTGTGTGTGTGTGTGTGTGTGTACACACTCTCAGATGCTGTGTACACAAAATATATCTGAGTGCACAGCTAAAGTTTGACATACAAAAAACTAGAACTCTTGGTTCCAAAATGAAATCTTTTATTATCGATTTCCCAGTTGGTCTAATAAAAGGTTTCATTTTGGAACCAAGAGTTCTAGTTTTTTGTATATCTTTTGTCTCAGACCAACACAGCTACCAAGTACACTCCAGCTGAAGTTTGAACCTGCGTATTTTATTTTTTGTGTGGGAAATTCACTACTGTCTTCTGCTAGAAAGTAATATTTGAACTTTACAGTTCTATCAGTAGCTATTGCAAGTTGCAAATTTTGTATTTCAGTCATTTTAAAGATAAGCTGTTTTTTTTTAAACTCATTTTTAAACTGTGCTTTTTGAAAGCCACCTGAAAGCAAGAAGCTAAACACCTGATAAGATTTGAGAAACGTTTTTTTGATACAAACTCCATCTTGTAGGGTAAACTGCTTAGGACACGCATCCAACTTTACATTTCATTAGTCTGAAAGTTTCCCACATGTAAAAAATTCATGAAACTCTCGTCATGTGTTCTAACAGCCTCTATAATTACTATCCAGTTTCTACCCTCTACTTTTTTGTGGAGTTTGAGAGACTAATGTAATTTATGCTTCGGTGTGCCAGGCTTTTCCGTTTTTTGGAAGATGCATAGTTTTAGCTGCAGGCTTATGTGCCCCACAAGTGTTGTTTTTGCATGATGCTCTAAACTGTGCCTAAATAGACCTGTGCCTGAGGTCTTTGGCTACTACTGCACATTTAGATATGGAATGTTGGACCTTAGTGAAGGTTGATTTTTATCTTGCTATGGACATGAAGTGATGATGAGCAAACTTCAGAATATGACTTGGTTGGCTCTGCTGGTTTGTACTGGAAAAGAAATTTCAGAGGGTTGCGATGAGCAATTTTTATCAATGGGTTTAGTGCTCATCTAATAAGAAGGTGCTTTGGGTTGGTTTGTGGTTTTTTTTGGTTTTTAAGGTCAAGTTACTTGAACAGTATCCCATAGGAGCTCTGTAGCAGAACCAGTAACAGAATAGTTTTCTGAAAAACATGAATAATCTATTCTGCTGTCAGATGCTCTTCTGAGGCACTAACCCCTCTCCCGCCCCCCACTTACATTATGTTTTTAGGAGTAACCTGAAAATTTAACTAGTAAATCTTGCTTTGGTTTAGTTTAAACAGCTTTTTACTGGTAAACATACTTGTGGTGCCTGGGAGGAAAAAAAAAAAAAAAAAAAAGTGAAAGGTGGGATTACCATTTTTTGATGATAATATGCTGTGCTCTATTTTTTTTGCAGGAAATAGATACTGTGAAACTGGCAGCAAACTTTGGAAAACTTTGCACAGTCCCTTTGGACTACATTCTGGTAGACAATGTTGCACTACAGTTTTTTATGGGTAAATTACTAACTTAAAGATTGATTTTTTTCTATTCAAGTAGGAGCTTACAAACCCACAATACTATGTATATTATGAAATTGATATGCCTAGTGAATGGATAAGTTTCCTTTATCTAGAAGAAATTGAGTGGGGATTTTTGGGGGGGGCATTGTTTTTTTTCTTTTGCAGTAAGATTTTTACAGTTGAAGTTAAATATTTTGCCAAATGCTGAAGTAATCTTAAGCTTTCAGAGGTAGTGTAGCCATCTTTGTGACATGTATGAATATTTGTTCTTTCTAGAATGATACTACTTGTTTCCCTTTTGTTTTTAAGTGAGGCTTACTACTGGAACTGATGAAGCCTCTGATTTTAAGTTTGGCCACATTCCTTGTAAGCTCTAGATATTTGTTTGAAGTGTAGTGAGGCTACACATGACAGTAACTTCAAGTTGAGTTTGGAGGGCTGCAAAATGTTTAGCAGTCCATGATTAACCCTTGGTTCATTGAGGATTAAAAAACCCCTAAAAACTGACTTTTTGGAATCTATTCATATGTAAGAATGACTAATGTGCCCTCCTGATTGTTAGGTTCTACAGTAAATCAGAAAATTGGAGTAAAGGTCAGAAAGTTTGCAGATACTGTCAGTTTGAAACAGCCTTCTTTAAACTAATTGAGCCATATAATATTTTGTCTTGCTGTGCAGTTAAACAGGATTGGATTGTTTTTCATGCTTGCTTTAAAATCCTAGAAAATTAAGGTTGGAAGGGACCTCAGGTGGTCATCTAGTCCAACCCCCTGCTCAAGGCAGGACCATCCCCAACTAGATCATCCCAGCCAAAGCTTTGTCTAGCTGGTGTGCGGGCCGGGAGCACCCCGAGCCCTTTTTTGCGCTGCACGCGGGCTGTGGCCAGCAGCCCGGGCACGTGGGGGCGGAGAGGGAAGGCCTTTGGTCTGGAATTAGGCACGGACGCGTATCGGTAGTTTAAAAGATTGTTTACTTACACTGAGATGGCAATGGTGTAGGCTGGAAAGCTTGATTAAGTTGCAGTTACAGACAGACACAACACAGACGGTCTCGTGGAGGTTGCTAGGCTCCACGGTGCAGAGCTCCGGATGCTCTGGGTGAACAGGCCACCAATGTAGAAATCGTAAATACGTCTTATATTAGTCGCGCTCGAAGACGGGAAGAGGTGGGCGGTGGATCAGGCCGCCACGCTCCTCTGGATCTTGCACAGGGTTTCTGTTACCCTGCCGTGTACCCAGAGTCCCCACGAGATGGATGTGGAGTCCTCTTCAGCTTGGGCGGAAACTGCTCAAGCCTCTTATACGGCTAACAGGCCAATCGCTAGCCGCCACGTGTGAATAATTTAGCACTAGCCAATCACGGGGAACGAATTTGCATACCGGTGGCGGGAACTCTTTTGCACCGTGCATTCCTCTTGCAACTCGAGCAATGCACTCTGTAAAAGAAGCTGCAGACAAGGCGGGAAACTGGTCCCTGCACCGGAGTTTCCTCTTGCTACAGGAAACTCCCATGCAATGCTCTGCAACTTAACGTGGATAATTCTGATGCCGAAGCGCGCACACACAATCATGCCTTTTGGGTCATGACAGCTGGGTCTTGAAAACCTCCAAGGATGGAGATTGCACCATGTCTTTGGGTAACTTGTTCCAGTGCTTTACTACCTTCCTAGTGAGAACATTCTTTCTAATATCCAACCTAAACTTCCCTTGCAGCAACTTGAGATCGTTGCTTCTTGTTCTGTCATCTGCCACCACTTAAAACTGTCTAGCTCCATCTTCTTGCAAACCTCCCTTTGGGTAGTTGAAGGCTGCTATTAAGTCTCTTCTCAATCTCCTAGACTAAATAAGCCCAGTTCCTTCAGCCTGTCCTCGCAAGTCTTGTGCCCCAGCCCCTGAACCATTTTTGTTGCCCTCTGCTGGACTCTTTCCAGCTTGTCCACATCCTTTCTGTAGTGGGGGCCCCAAAACTGAACACAGTGTTCCAGAAGTGGCCTTACCAGTGCTGAATAAAGGGGAATAATCACTTCCCTTGACCTGCTGGCAACACGCCTACCAGTGCAGCCCAGTATACCATTAACCTTGGCAAAAGGGCACACTGCTGGCTCATATTGAGCTTGTTGTCCACTGTAAGCCCCAGGTCCTTTTTTTTTTTTTGCAGAGCTGTTGTCCAGCCAGTCAGCCCCCAGCCTGTACTGGTGCATTAGATTTGTTCCAACCTAAATGTAGGACTTTTGCAGTTGTCCTTGTTGAACCTCCATGAGATTTGGTTTTGGCCCAATCCTTCAGTTGTTCTAGGTCACACTGAATCCTAGCCATACCCTCCAGCATATCTACTCATTTCCTCCTCTGCGTCCCCAGCTTGGCGTCACCTGCAAACTTGCTGCGGGTGCACTCTGTCGTCTTCCAGATCATTGAAGACAGTGAACAAAGTCGGCCCCAGGACTGACCCCTGGAGCACTCCACTTGATGCCAGCTGCCAACTAGACATTGAGCCATTGATTACTACTCTCTGAGCCTGATGCCCCAGCCAACTTTCTGTCTACCTTACAGTCCATTCATCCAGCCCATACTTATTTTGCCTGCGAGAATGTGGGAAACCATATCAAAAGCCTTGCTCAAATCAAGGTACACCACATCCACTGGTCTCCTCACATCCACATAGCCAGTCATTTCACCATAGAAGGCAATCGGGTTCCTCAGGCATGACTTGCCCTTGGTGAATCCATGCTGACTGTTCCTAATCATCTTTTTCTCTTCCAAGTGCTTAGAAATGGATTCCTTGAGGGTCTGCTCCATGATTTTTCCAGGGGCTGAGGTGAGGCTGATTGGCTTGTAGTTCCCTGGATCCTCTTTCTTCCCTTTCTTAAATATGGGCACTATTTGCCCTTTTCCAGTTATCCAGGACCTCCTGATGGTCATGAGTTTTCAAAGATGATGGCTAGTGGCTCTGCAGTCGCATCAGCCAACTCCGTCAGCATCTTTTACCTTGTCCATTACCCTTTTCAAATAGTAAATAAATAAATGGAATCTTTAGAACTCTGTTTAACTTCTGACCTGGTTCTTATATTCTGTACTTCATGTTTATATATCCTGTATAGCTATGGCCTATGATTCAACTGTGAATAAGAACACCCATCTACTTCTATACTTCATGGATTTTGTTTACTGTAGTCATTGGTATGCAGTAGCTCACTATTTTTGGCTCTTCATGACAATGTTTGAGTGTCAGTATTGATTCAGCTTTAGCACATAAAGTAGTTTCCATATTAATTCTTATGTGTTGTTTTTTTTTCTTGGCTTTTATACTGCAATATGGGTGAACTCTTAGGTATGTGCTTTTATCCAAGCAGGTATAATTACACAAATTTGATTTTTGTAGATTACATGCAGCAGACTGGAGGCCAAGCACATCTTTTCTTTTGGATGACGGTGGAAGGGTACAGGGTTACAGCCCAACAGCAGCTGGAGGTGTTGCAAAGCCGGCAGAAAGATGGGAAGCATCAGACTAATCAAACCAAGGGTCTGTTAAGAGCAGCTGCATTTGGGATCTATGAGCAATACTTATCGGAGAAGGTAACAACATACTTTCCAGAATTTTGTGGAATTTCATTATGGGAAAATAAATTACAGTTCTAAACTCAGAGTCCAGATAAATTTGGAAGGATAGTGCCAATTTCTTGTCAAATGGATCTGATGGAGCTAGCTGCTTGAGTTCAAAATTTTGAAGTTAATGCCTGAAGGATACCTCCTGTATTATGTAAATTATTTTTGCTAACTTTTTCTCGGAAAACAACAATGGCATGTGCACAGATGACCTGTCAAATGCAGTACATTTAATTTATCAAAAGCTGGCTGTTGTTAGATGATGGAAGCAAAAGTTTAGTCTTGATCAAACTACAAATTGAGGATCTTCTGTGGGGTGGGCAGGGGGTGGACAGGGAGAAGGTGCAGCTGTGTAATGCAACCTTTCATCTGTGTCTTCTTACTTTACTTGGAATCCAAACCAAATGATTTGTTATCCCCTTTGGATATCTAAATTATTCATCACACAATTTTAACAAGATATGAAATGCCATACTGGGTCAGATGAATGGTCTTATCCATCCCAGTAGCCTGTCTCCAACAGTGGCAGGAGTGGATACTTTAGAGGTAGAGCACTGAATCGGATATACCATGAGTAATTTATCCCCTATTCATTATGTATTCATTTGGTACAACTTGATAGTCCATCAGGCTTGTGATAGCTGACTTAAATAGCTTACCTGTTTTGATCTCAATTCCCATGCCCCACTCCCACAGTTTTCTTCAACAAATGACTTTTTCCAAACATCATTTTAACATTTATTTCCTTCTATCTTGTTTGTTTTGCTTCCAGCCTCTAAGTCCCTTATCTTAGAGAGATCTTTTATTTTGGTGGTGGTCAGAACTTGCTGCTGGTTAATGAGCTACCTGATGTGTTAGGCTAGGAACAGTTGTTGTATTTATCCCTGGATAAATAGTCTGTCTGGGAACAAAATGATTTTGGGATTAGCATGTACACACACCAACCTTCTAAGCAGGGTCTAGTGAGTTTTTGCCATTGATTCAATGATACTATCCCAGGATAACTGTACAAACATCTCTTGCTATATTCTGGAATAAACTGCAACAACTACTCATCCAGGAAACTTTAGGATTTATCCTGGGATAATGTGTGGATGTCTGTATGCTTTGGCTTTATCCTGAGATAAGTGCACCTTCTGTTAGCAGCCTTAGTGGCTTAAGTATCTTGGTTATGTGCATAAAACTGTTTTAACATGGTTAAACATTTTTTTTGCCATTCTAGCAGAAAACAAAAGTCTTAGGTCAGTTCAGTCGCCCCTCTGATTCTTCCTTCATGGTTAAGCATCTTTGGAGGATATATACTTATGTGTTTGTATCCTGTAAGAGCAACCTGGGACATTCCACAAGTACAACATTCACTTTTAAAATATTAAAAACAACATAAACTGAAAATATGATTTTGGAAAACTGATCGAATTTGAACAGGGATATTACTTAAATTCACTTTGTATTAGTGAGAATTTAATAAAGAATTAACATTGAGTGCATTTCAAGAGTACATGTAATACTGGATTCAAGCCCAGAAAATCTGAAGTGTTAGTTCAAATTTGCTCTCTTCACTATCATCTCCTTTTCTTTCTTGTAAGTATCATTAGCATTTACTAGTAGCTATTTAAGTGTGTGTGTGTGTGTGTGTGTGTGTGTGTGTACACATATACACACCAAGAAAAAACATATCCTTAAGTTATTGCTAAGTTTTTTAAATGGCATAGCTGTTTGTGTGGTAAACCTATTTTTGCATTCTAAAGAGGGAAGGTTAACACTTTCTGGAGATTTGGATTTATTTATTCCCCCCACCCAATGTCAAACATTATGCAAGTTAATTTAGATCTCTTTGACAGGCCTCTCCAAGAGTTAATATTGATGACTGCTTAGTAGCAAAATTGGCAGAAACACTGAACCATGAGGACCCAACACCTGAAATCTTTGATGACATTCAGAGAAAGGTATAATGTATTCACAGTTTATTGCATAAGCATTAAGACTACACTACAGCATTTGATGGTAACAGCTAAACTTCATAGTGAAAATTTAAGAAATAAGGTACACAAGCAACTTGATCCTCAAATTTGTCATTCTTCGTTTATTTAGGCACACAAATCCACAGGAAAACTGAAACCAGTGCCATTACCAGTGCACACTTTAAATAATAGGTTTGTAGAAGACGGGGTAGGGTGGCACCTTTTTTAGAGACTAGCTAGCTGAGAGGCATAATCTTTATTTACCTTTAAAAAAAAAAAAAAAAAAAAAAGTGTACTTAATCAGATGATGTAAATGGACTAGCAGAGAGCAGGGATACTAAATAAAAATAAAGTAATTTCAATAGAAGTAGTATGTTGAAGAGGTCAAAAAGAATGAACAAAGGAGTTAACACCCTGAAGGACATGAGGATTATGAAAGCTAGCCCAGGTCATGGGGTAAGAATCCAGTCTTGGATACCATACCTAACAGTTTCTTCCATGGATGACTACTTGAATGTGAAATTGGGAAACAAGTTGGTTTTGTTTTGGTTTTGTTTTTTTAAGTTTTGTTTAAAGGCAATTACTTTGAGGCCAGTTATGGAATGTCTAGGGAGGCTAGTGTTCTGCCATAGGCTTATGTTTCTTTATGAAATTCATGTCAGATTGGTGATTGTTCATTCATTAATTCAGATGAAGAAAATTGCTTCATCTGACCAATGTAGATGGGTGGTAGTGTATATGACATATTAATAGATGCTCAAGGGAATGAACCCTTGCTTATCAATTAATATGATAGATGTTGGAACCCATGTTTGGTTCAGTGATGATGATATCATCTGTGTTGATGAAGGGGCACAACTAGCTTCTGGATCTGGAGCAAGGCTTAATGGCCTGGTTAAAAAAAAAAAAAAAAAAAAAAAAGGCCTTGGATTACTAACTCTCAGATTTTAAGTTTACACTTCCATGCAATTGGTTAGTGTGTTGCTAGAGAGAGATTGTTTCGTTTGAAGTTCAGGGGCTACCTCTTTGTCCCCGAGGCTACCCTGACATGGCTGTGTCTCTGTGTCTCTTCCTCCTCCTCCCCCCCACCCCCCAACCACATGTGGAGTTAAGGGTCATTCATTAATGCTGTGTTCAAGCTCTGCAGGCTTTAGGTGACAACAACGATTCTGATTTTCTTATCACAGTTACTGTACCAGAATATTGTGGTATTCTGCCATCCTTAAATGACCTCTCTTCACGAACAGACTACCTAACTCCTATTTTGGATTCGGATCATCTAGTGAGGTCATAATGAGTTATTCCAGTGACTATGGCTAGAGACGGACATTACATACAAACTGGTTGAAACCTGGATTAAACCTGTAACAGAACAAACACTCAGTGCACACAAACCATTTTGAAAATGGCTGAAACTGGTTTGAGATGAACCTGGTTGAATATAGTAGCAGACTTAACTGGTTTTGGTCAAACCTGGTTTATGTAATGTCTGTCCCAGACCCTTTCCTGGTTTAACTTAAACCAGAGTCCCACAGCATCTGGGATGCTTTGCAGCACTGGGCGGGGCTCTCTGCTCCAGAGCAGGGCTGGCCATGCCCCTTTGCTCCCTGGCTGGAGCTTGGGCAGAGATGGCAGGCCCAGCAGGGACTGCCTGGCTTCCCTCTGCCCCTCCTTCCCCCCCCCCCTCCCCCCCACCTCAAGGGGGCACAAGCAGGGATTCCTTCCTTCTCTCTCCCCCAGCACAGACAATAGCCAGCATGTGGTATGCTACCTAATGCTGAGAGGTGTCTGTGTAAGGTGCACAGGACAAAGGCAGATGGATCAGTGTCCACTTAGGGCTTTTTGGAGCTAATCAACAGGTCAGCTGGTAACGTTCTGTTCCTCCATTTCTTCCTTAGAAAAAGTTATTTAAGATGAGCTTTAACTAGTGAGAGGCTCTTTTCTGGATGGGGTGCTAAATGCTATAAACTCCCTGTGTAACTCTCAGCTGTGCAACTAAATGTTGTGTTATCAACTGCCTGCAGGCTCCCTCATTGGTCAGGAGCCGTTGGGGGGGGGCGGGACCCCTTCCTAATAGTGTCCTGGTGGGGTCTGGCCATGCCCCCCCTCAGCTCAGCATTGTAGAAGGGAAGGGAGGGCTGCTCTAGCACCTCCCATCTTCTAGCTTGAGCCACTGCAGGCATGTGCCTGCGTTTCTTCAGTCCAGTGGGGACGTCTGTATGGTTACAAACCGGTTCAGCCTAGGCAGGTTAGACTGACCTGCAAAGATTAGATCAATTCAGACTCGGGCTTTTTGAATGTGTCCCTAGCCTATGTAATTGTGTGTGTATGTATGTATAATATAGCAATGAGTTATAACTTTAACTTTAAAACTTGTTACTAGTAAGCAAGATGTTATCTGAGCAGATTTACTTATACAGGCAGTCCTTGACTTGCAACGTTTCCAGTTGCAACGTTTGTCACATACAACCTTTATAAATCGACACCCTGTTTCAACTTTCTGACGTCAGTTTTGACTTCACAGTGCTTGATCCGACGCTTTCTTTTAAGAAAGCAGCCAAGACTCCAGAAAAACCTGTAGCCAGGACTCCTGAGGAGACTTCAGCCAAGTACCTTTCAAAAAGTTCAGCAGTCACCTCAAAGAAGTCCTTCCAAATCAATATGATTGCTGTTTACAATATAAATACATTAATGTAGCTATATTACTCATCCATAATTGACTGAATACAAAATTCTGGGTTATTTTTGGTGAAAGTAGGATATCAGACCTTAGTTCAGGGACCAGTCCCCCATTTTATAACATTGTTTCCTGTAGGAAAATTGGTTCCGAGTTGCAATATTTCAATTTGCAATTGGTTCCTGAAAACCACATCTTGTCGTAGGTCTGAGGACTGCCTATACTTCTAATTGGAAACTACAGAATCGGGGGTTTGAAGGAAAGCTAAAAGTATAGCAAAGGGGGGGAGGAGAAGAGTGTATGCAGGAAAAATAGGGTGCATAAAACAATTTGCTAAGAATTTTAATAGGCTTTTGTCTAGAAACCTATGGTGGTGATTAGTTTTAATCTTGGTATTTTAATTCAATAAGGTATATGACCTGATGCTGCGGGATGAAAAATTCTACCCTTCATTCAAACAGAATGCGTTATATGTGCGCATGCTAGCTGAACTGGATATGTTGAAGGATCCTAGTTTCAGAGGATCAGATGAGGGTGAAGGAGGTGAGGTCATAAACTTTTTTCCCTTTTCACTATTTCAGTATAATCTCTCAAACTAGATAAATCAATATAGGTTTTCTCTAATGCCTTCCTCTATTCCTGTTAGTTCATTTCCATGCTACTGTGGTCTTTTGTGGCTTTGACAGGTTTTTTTTCAAATTTTAGAATTCTATTTGCGCATTATTACAGAAGCCAGATAAAGGCATATTTTAATATAGTTATTGCTTATAAATATAATGGGTATTTGTTACTTGTAAGGAGCCAAAGCTTAAGGTTTTGTGCCTACATTTCTGATATAGCTTGCCTACAGGAGACAATGGATATAATACATTTGTGACTTCATTGCAGTTTTCTCTTCTCTCTATCCACCTGCTAAAATTGGCCTCTAGTGTGAGGTCATATGTCCTGTTATGTTGAGCTGTTTGTTTTAGTTTCAAAGACTCACTTATTTACTACACATGTATGTTTCCCCAATGTCACTGATTTGTGTGTATAGTATACAAATGCTGTACATCTCATATATTGTGAAGAACTTAAGTTGTATGTTTTTAAACTAAAATAAGCATTGCATATGATCTTCAAACATATCTTTTCATAGCTTCAGACCATTGTTTCTTGTCTTTCTCTCCTTGAGTCTGGGCAAATTCCTTTTTCCACCTGTTTTTTCTCTACCAATTGAGTTTCTCTTTATAGAAATCTTTCTCCCATTTTTCTCACGTACCATGATACAGGGTTTAGAAGCTGATGAAGGGTATGCATGTCTTATCCCCACTAATATGAAATATTTTGTTTTGAACTGTGGTAAAAATATGTAAAAAAACAAACAAAACAAACACAAAAAAACCCCCTATCTGTTTATATACCAAGTTTGGAAATGGGTGATAGCGAAAGGTGTACTTGTATGCTTTATTGCCCTCTAGTGGTAAATTTTATCTGTAGAATTGTAAATTACAAGTTGAAAATACCTCTGTGGTTTCTTCCTTTGTATTTATAAGCACAGTAACATTCTTTACAGTATATTTTTTCAGTGTTCTTCATTTTGAAATTGCCAAGTTGGAATTTCTCCACTGTTCTGAATGGTTAAATTAGTATAATAGAGCCTAGTGGACCAATATTTACTTGCTAGCTAATTCATTTTACCTCTACATCTACTCTGCTTCTTGCCTGGGAGTTTTTTATAACTGTTCTATCCCCTCTACTTTGATCAAGCTGTTCAATATAGTTCTTCCTAACATTTCCGTATGACAATTCCATTTCATTAATAATTTTGTCTTTGCAGACCGCTAAGTATTAATGCATCCCATATATAATAAATAGCTTGTGTGGTCTCATCAATGGCATACAGAGATCCCAATTTGTATAAATATAGGGAATATCAAGATAAATAATAAAGCCAATAACTGCTATTGAATGAAGTTCTGCTAGCTTTTATATTTGTGTTTAGGTGGGTTTTTTTTCTGTTCTGAAGCAGGAAAAAGTGATGACTACCTTTTCTTCTGATAAATTGGGCATACAGTCCATGATTTTTTTTTCTTGTAGATCTAGAATCGAATTAGCTATAGCAAAATCTTTACTTCATGGTAAGCTGCATAATGCAAAATAGATTTCAGAAATTCCCCTTTAAATAATGCTCTGTTTTGGGTGGTTTGGTTTGTTGCTATCAGGGTTTTTTTCCAGACAGCCTGCAAAGTCAATTTGTGGTTCTTTTGCGGTACAAACAAGATGATTATAATTAAAAACAACAACAACACCCCCCCCCCCCCCCACATTTTAGAATGAAGGGGGAGGGGGAAAAAAAACAACAACAACCCCCCCCCCCCCCCATACATCTTAGTATGATGAGGTAAGGGTAACAAAGAAATATTGGTCTTATGGACTATAATGTGGTGTTTCCTTTGGTCCTATAGAGTAGAAGGTATCTGCTTAAAGTGTTTCAATGCATGCCTTGCCATCAGTCCTTTAATTACAGTAAATAGCTAGTGAAACCTAAATTCATATACATTTTATAATGTTCAACATCATGCATGCAAAAACACTTGGGTTTTTTACCTTCCCATAATAAATTGCTTGCACTTCCTTTATGGACTGGTGTATTTTTTTTGTACTATACCACAAACTTTTCCATGTAAGGGCAATATGTTTTGAATGTGGTGTACAGAAATTTGGTGTAGATATTGTCTTCATTGCTCCCTCTTCTCTAGCTGAAGTCCTCTGTCAGAGGACTATCATCAGATGTTTCCCGCTGAAAAAAATCAAACCATATCTACACATGAACATATGTTTTTATGCCACACTGAGAGTCTCATCTCTGGTACAAGTTAAAGGGAAATTAAAGTAATGTTGGGGGAAACATGCTTCAGGAAAAGTGTTATAGATGTCAGGAGTATGACTTGAGGCACAAACAGAGGTAACTATTATTAAACATTTTAATGGCCTTTGAAGCTCTTTAAGGGCCAGCTGTACAGATGCACAAGACCTTTGAAGCATTCCAGAAATGGGTAAAATAATCCAAAAGAGGGTACCTTTTAAAATGAGGTACTATTTTAGAACATTTCATTTTTGATATACTTGCACCCAGCTCTAGTGTGCTATCCTTGTGTATATTTCCCTGCTTTCCCTGCCAGACCTCTAGGATCCCCACCAGTGCTGTAGGTGGGCCGTTTTTGCACCAATTTCCTCTAGCCTTCCCATTGTGAGGGGAAGAGGAAGTGTTTGAGGTTGGGATCCCCTGCTACCACTTCACCCTCTGACCTTTCCTTTCTGTTCTCCCCTCTGCCCTCACTTCCTGCAAGCGGAGAGGGGTAGCTTGAGAGGAGACTGCAGTGTTTTGAAATGTGCCAGCCAGGGTTGAACCCAAAATATACCATATGAGGTCAGACCAGTGTTTCACATAGGCTGGTATTCTGTTTCCAACAGTGGCAGAAATGGGTGTTTTAGAGGGGAGAGCGCATGAGCAGGGCATATCTAGAGCAGTGGTTCTAGACCTTTTTAGACTCGAGACACCCTTTGGAAAATAGCAGATACTTAACTTTTAACTCATTTTTGACTGCAGAAAATTATTGGAGCATTTTTTTCTGTTACAGGGATCTCCAAGATCACAAGTTGGAAATTGTTTTTTAATGCTATGGATTTCTGTTCGAAATCTCTGAGTTTTTATCTTGTCAGTCATGTTTGTACATCTAACAGTGCTAACATACTGTGGCACATCTGAAGGACACCCCAGGGTGCTGTAGCACCCTAGCTGTGAATCGCTGATCTAGAGTGATCTGTTCCTTGATGTACTCTCCCTGGCATCCATCATATTGCTTTAAAAAGACATCCCTGACTGTGTTCTGCTTTAGTTATTAATGAAACTATCATCCATTAATTTCTGTAGTCTCCTTCCCCCCACCCTTTTTTTGAAGCTGACTAAACTAATGGCTTCTACAACTTTGTGGCAATGAGTTCTAGAATTTGTGCTGCATAAAAAGCTCTTCCTCTTGTTAATCTCAAACTGGTCTAACTTCAGTGGGTTCCCCCTAGTTTTAGTCTTCTAAAGACTTGGTGAATAACAGTTCCTGGTTCACTTTGTCCATGTTCTTCATAGTTTTTATTAGACCTCTTATATACCCCTCAGCCTATTCCTTTGCAAACTGAAGAGTGCCCTAGTCTTCTACTTGCATCCTCTGGCTGAAACATTTCTTTCTGAAGTGTTTCCAAGTGCGTATCACTTGGAAACAATTCAATTACTATGTCGATATTCTGTGTTTGAAGGGCAGGAAGTTGTGGTGAGGAGATGCATAGATATGTGGGGAAACAGGTCAGTGGGATACAGCATTTTCACATAGGACTTCAAAATGGAGTGTGAAAAACAAAGCTTTATGATTGAGTTAAGCAAATATGAGACATTTTCTACACTGGAGGACATAGAAAGCTGAATCTGTATAAATTAGGGAGGGACTTGCTAGTACTAAGTGTGTCAGATGGTTTATTGCAACTTTCTTTTGCCCACTCTTATCCTGTGGCAAATGAAGCTAAATCATGACTTTAAAACTGCTTCACTTTGAATCTAAAAATCACAATACATTTACCCTATTTATTGATATATTTAGTTGTTAAATTGTATATGCTGCCCTTCTCACAAAAGGCTCAGGGCAACCTACAATAAATGACAAAACCTTATGGAAAGATTAAAATATTAAGAGTATAACAAACTTTCCGGGATAGAGTGGATATCATGATCAGTGGCTCCCATTTAGGTCCACCACCTCATCTTCAATCAACATGTCTATCTACAGCCAGAGAGATCATAAAGTTATGTAGATGAGCATAGTTTCTCTTCATATATGATTTGGTCCCATTACTTCCTTCTGAAATGTGTTGTGGTGACTGGGAGGTCTTTAGATGGGTTTGTATGCTTTTGAAAGGGGAGTGGGAATGAGTAGCATTTAGAAGCTCAAGTGAGTCGTATTATTCAGGGCATTTTGGGAGCTATTCCCTGGGACAGAGTCCTTGCTCTCTGTTACCCATGTGGAAATGGTAGTTTAGTGGAGTGGTCAGCAGTGGTTTAGGCTGTGGGCTGGAATTGACCTTGCTTGGGTCAGCGGTGGCTTGGTAGGCATTAGGAC